AGATAGAGTTGGAGGTCTCCCTATTCAGCAAGAAGTCTCCCTAGGAGCAGGACTCTTGTAATCTCCTATTTAAGGAGCCACTATTATTGAATAAAGGCATHHAAAAWTTYAGTCAAAGAGAAGAGTAAAGGAGAGTTAGGGTGATCTCTTGGACAAATCACCCCTTAGGTCGCCACGATAGGGTCAGCACGCAAAGGGAGGGGCAAGAGAAAACTAGAGGTTCTCCCCGTGGACCGACCCGTGACGAGATCCTACGCCCGGGCCCATAACATTTTGGTATCAGAGCAAGGCGTCATGGGTGATCTGGAGCAGCTGCCGTCCAGGGTCCACGAACTCGAGCACCGGCTCATGGAGACCAGCTTGGAAGTACGGGAAATCAAGAATGAAGTCAAGGAGCTACGGCGTCTGATGGAGTTATTCCTTTCTAGCAAAGAGAGGAACATAGAAGGGGTGGCAGCCACTAGCGGCCGCCGACCAGATCTGCCGGAGTCTTCCGGCGAACAGCAGTTCGGCAACCAGGGGGCCGTAGTCATCCCCAAGTACAGCAGGTTAGAATTCCCGTCGTACAACGGCAACGGAGATCCCTTGGGCTAGTTGTACGATGCGAGCAGTTTTTTCGAAATCAACGGACAGACGACCGGGATAAGGTAAGCCTAGCCACCTTTCACTTAACAGAGGAAGCACAACTCTGGTTCTATCGATTAGAACAGGAAGAACCTAGGCTCAGTTGGACCCAGTTCAAGTCCTACTGCCTTTTTAGATTTGGGCCCCCACTAACAAGCAACCCCTTAGGCGAGCTGATTAACCTTAAACAAATCAACACGGTGGCAAAATACCAACGCCAGTTCCAGACCCTCCTCGCGAGGGCATTTTCAGTGCGACCGGATCAGCAGGTAGACATGTTCACCGCTAGGTTAGCAGAACCCCTGCGGGTGGACGTGGAAATGCAGAATCCCCCCAACCTGGTTACAGCCATGAATATAGCTCGCGCCTTCGAACGCAAACTACAACTCAGCGGCGAAACCTTCAGTATGGGGCGGCCTCTATCAGCATGAGCATCCCCGGAACCACTCA